CGAACGTAGAGGCTGATTGGTCGACCCGATTTAGCAGTGACTGTAGTGATATAACATCTTCCGCAAAGATAGCGATATCGTCGTCAAATTCTAGATCTGTCAGCCAGAACTTAAGGTTAACTTGAACACCACGATAGCCCTGAAGGGCATGATGCATAACCCAGGCGACTGCGAAGTTGAATAGCACTGGAAAAAGTGGGCAATCCTGCCGGACTCCAGTATTGATGTCGAATTCCCTTGTTTCTTCGTAGACCCTAATCCGGGCCTACGTGAAATGGTAGTATGATCTCATCAATTTAACCAGCTTAACCGGTACGCCATCGGCAAATAGGATTGTCCGGAGTGCTTCGCGGCCAACTGAGTCAAGGGCAGCTCGGAAATCAACGAAGCAAACAAACTGGTACCTGACGTAGAGTGAAGATTTGGTCAGTGCAGCCTCTGCTTGGACGAAAGCCACCTTGGTTATGGCGCGTTCCCAGGTTCATCTCATTGGCAAAGCGGTAAAGCAAAATTCGTGCGCAGCTTTTGTCAGCCACCTAGATTAAGCTAATCCCATGAAAATTACTGCACGCGGTTCTGTCACCTTTCTTGGGAAATGGCAGTAGTACTGTGGTACTCCACGAGGAAGGACAGATTTCCTTTTCTCATATGGAGCAGAAGAGCTCGTGCAAATGGCCAAGGAGGGTTGGTAGACATCATTTGTAGAGTTCGGTTGGAATTTCGTCCGTTCCAAGTGCTTTCTTCTGCTTCAGGCGACTTCTGTGGGAGATGGCAATGATCAATCCCCGTCATATTCTGACTGGGGCACTACTGTAACGGGTGTGGTGGTGTGTACTGGGTGGTTTAGGTGATTTCTAAAGTACTCTACCCCTCTGGAAAGATTTCCTTCCGTATCAGGGATGATTTGTTCATTCGAATTGCGCAATATCGGTTGTGGTGAATAGCGTTTGCCAGAAACTAAACGGATGAGACGAAAAATGACCACATCTCACTCTTAAGAGCAATTTCAGTTGGTTTTTTCCCACTCCAATCACAAAATCACTTATGCTTTAGGGTGTGTCAGTGATTTCAACACCTTTCCCTTTGAACTCTAGTCTACCGCGGTATGGTATAGCAGAGTTTTGCATTTGCAATTCATCGCGTCGCACAACAGTGCAAATTCAAGACTTCGGAGGTCTTGTCTTGATTATATTGACCACTTTGATCTCTTGGTTCATAACAATCAACATATTTAAGATTTTGAAACAAGGGCTTCCCCGTGGATCATAAAGTGGGGGCTTATACTATTTGGATTCGGGGCAAGTGTGATAAATTCCTTTTTTTGTTCCCCAGCATTGTAGACATTATTTTACGGCAAACGAAATCTTGTGATATTTTGTTTAGCGTGTTTGTTAGGAAACTTTCGCTTTTGACACAAAAGCTTCATCAAGCGTGGTGGATCACATTTGGAGTAGCATTTTATGGCGTACAAGAACGATAATCGCGATATCATACCGAAGCCAAGGTGTTATCACAGTCGCAGGATGTCGCCTCGAGTGGTTTAGCTACCGTGGAAATAATCCCGGAGTTCTTTCCAGATAGGCCTATAGTGTTGCGCAGTCGAGTTGCATATCCCAGTGTGGTCCGCACACCGACGCTCGTCAGACTGGCCGGATTAAGATCACTGGCCACGCAAAGGAGTGTGGTACTCCCTCCATTCTATTCACGCTTCCTTCCGATTTGACGATTTCCAACGCCTAGGCCATCACCCACTTGGATGTTGCTTGTATACCCCTGCTAATAGTCTGTACATTGTTCTAGTCGATCTGGTGACCCTTGTCTAATGCATACACAGCCACGACTGAGCCTCCTAATAATATCCGGTATTCTCTGGAAGTCTTGAACTGCGCCTTTTGTGCTCCGAAAGACTTATATAAGTAAGTGACTGTGCTTTTCCACTGATATCTGTCCAAGCATCAATCTGTATGGATCAGAGTTCACTGTCTTATGATTCAAAGTGCTCGCTAATTTCTTTTTTATGTTTGAAGATAAGTTTATCCTGCGTGCTATTTCATCACTGGCTACTGGTACTTTCTTGGCCTCCTCAGCCGCTTCCTTTCGCAGCATTGTTTTGATAAGTCTATGTAATTCTGCTGCAAACCTGGATTCGGCATCGAAATGTAATCCCTTGCATTGTACTATTAATAGTGCATCCTTGTAGGTAGAAATCAGCTCCTCATCTTCTAGCATCTTCAAATCGTTTAAACGTCTTTTACTGTTTCATTTTGCTACGCTGCCAGATATTTGGAACCTCTTCTTGCTTTGTTTTTGACCTGTGAGCTTGTAGTTTCTAAATGTCTCAGTCTTTGTTAATAGTGGTTACAAAGGCTTCATTTGCATGTTTATTTCTCTTGACTACACAGTTATCATATTTGAGGGTTCTCTGTTTCACGCGGGGCCAGTCTGACTTGATATAGTTATATCTTTACTTCCGTTTGTTCCTTTGCTAGTCTTCTGTTTCTAAGGCACCTGATGTTGTTAAATATTTGTCCATTATGGCTGAATAAATAAAACCTTTTTATTTTGCTCGCAGCAGTGCAATCGTATCAGAGAAATTTAATGACTTATTTCACTATTTTGTCATTATGATCAAATTCAGATCAACCTCAATAACAGTTGGGAAGAAGTATCAAATAAAACGCGGAGAAACTACATTTGACAATATTTCACTTACAGTCCCTATTCCAGTTATAAAACTCATGTGATGGCAATTACCTCTCAAAAACCCTTGCGACACATTTAGCGGTTTCTTGTGGTACAACGGGGTGTTGCGATACACAGATGAACACTATACCAGACACATCAGTGCGAATTGGTCCAACTGACCCTTCGGCATAGCGGGAGTCGTATTATGAAACTGATTATCCATGGTCTCCACTAATGAAACACTAGGAAAATTAGGTATTACGCCTAATGACGACACTTTCATCTCAGTTATAGTTGTCTCATTGCTTTGGGAAAGTCGTAAATCTATTAGACGTTGTAATTATGGAGTGTACTCTCATCCGTTGACTCTTGGGCTAATGATCATCAAAGAGTCGCGGGCCAGTTACTTGGCTCCCCACTAAGCATCCTAATAGCTCATATGACGCTGTGTCGAACCGATGTGTCGCGTCACTGACCGCTCGCTTCTGCAACGGGAAGTGAGTGCACAGCAAAGTTTGGTTGCAAAACATTGATAACCACCAGCTTGTATAGGGGAGGGGGTCGTTTTGTGAAATTAGAGAATGTATTTGGCCACCTGTCCACATGCGTCCAGTATGGCGGTGATTTTTCTGATAAAGAATACCTTTCTTGCTCAACACGCTATCTTTCAAAACTCGTTATGCACCACTATGCTACGACTTTAAGGTCTACCTATGTTCGTCTAAGTAAACTCCCATCTTCGATTATCGCTGTCTTTTCAACCGGTTTGTCGCCAACTCATTCCACCCACCAGATATCCCTAATCTGACCGCGGTTCGAATTGTTCACTTGCTATCTCATTTATTCATGTTGTGCTTTAGTTATCCTGTTTGGACGGTGGGATCACGTAATTTACTATTTGTTACCTCCAATTTATGGTACGGAACCTTTCACCAAATTCCCTGATATGGATTACGGACACCTAAAAAGGAGCTGTGCTGTGCATCATTTGCGATTTTCACTGTTGATTATCTGGTGGGGTTGTGTACCACCATTCGCTAAGTACTCGTCTTGTGTGCAGTCTATAGTTACCACCTACTGCCCAACCATCATTTAGTTGTGTTATCCCCATCGGAAATATTGTAGGAGCTTTAACTTATTCTGCTATTTTTAGCTTATTTCTCTTCGCACAGGGAAGATACTAGCCACAATCATGTGACTCTCTAACCACAGCATTCAAAAGCTATTGATGTGCATACAATCAATAGACAATTTACTTTGAACTCTGGCTTATGCCATCTAGCCAACTACCACCTGTGTTTTCTTTGTGCAATCTTTCTGCCCTACTGTCGTAGTGTATTTTCGGGAGCCTCCCAAAATATATCATTGGGATACCAATACGATTTTTTGTTGTTGGTTGATTGTATGCACATCAATAGCTTTTGAATGCTGTGGTTAGAGAGTCACATGATTGTGGCTAGTATCTTCCCTGTGCGAAGAGAAATAAGCTAAAAATAACAGAATAAGTTAATGCTCCTACAATATCCTTCGTCATCACCAAGGTCTGTGTTCCGACAGTCCAAGATTCCAGTCTCAGGTGTTTGACCGACAGATAAGTACCTCAGCTTATTTTGTCTAAGTTCACTGGGTTTTCTCAGACCTCGGTCCTGTGACTGCTTTCTTGTCACATTTTGAACTAAAATTGAATGATCGCTCCTGTCTACTTGTTATTGTCTCCGTATTGACTATGGAAATTCGCATAAATATTTATACATTGCTCTGCTATGTGTCCAAGGATTAACAATCATCACTCACCACTTCGACCATGATGGATAATGAGTTCGTGCAAATGGCTCTTCTTGATCAAACCCTAATGTGACAGAGTTGAGATGGGGATAGACATATAGGGCGATCTAAGCGATACCGGTGTGGCGTTATCTGCCGCATAAGAAAGCGATTGCCAAGGATCCAAGTAGCTGTGGGTTACGATAGCTGTAACGCCTCAGCGCGACATCCATGCACTATTGTTCGTTCTTTTCCCGTAGACAAAGCTTGAATTATTCCTGTATTTCACCATACACTTGTACTGACGCGTTACAAATTCCAAGGGTTATTTTCGTTTACGGTTTTTTTGTCGATGTATGTGTTGATGCCGGTGACATCACTTCGTGGAGAACTTGTGTATCACATTGGCCAGCCTGCTCCCGCCAATTATCCTTACACCCTACGCTATTCGCTTACCATGATCACGGAATCTGCCCGTGCTCTGTAGTCCACCTAGTCTACAACTGCCATCTCACCACTCTTTTCAACATATCTCTCGTCTAATTGTGCAGGTCATGAATATCGCATGTTCAACACGGTAGATGTGCATTACTACGCTTCATGTGCGTTTATCAAACTTTGGCCCAAGCTTCAGCTCGCTATTAACTACGATTGCGCTGACCTAACACTGGAAGAGGACACAACTAAAACATATTTCATCCATGAAGGACATCATGGCTTTCGGAATCTCGAGTGCTTCGTACCGCACGATTTCGGCGAACCGGAGAATGAACCTTGGCGGATCACAAACGCCTACATCATGTTTCCAACTGACAGTTGGAAGGATTTAGCACCCAAGTTCATTTTGCAGACGTGGAGGGACTGGAAACATACACAAGACTACTACTATCTGCTGTACATGTTGCCAATCGTTTACGTAAGTTAACTAACATTTTCCGCTTCCGCCTGAAAGTAACAACTTTTATCCAAATTTATCTACCATTGTCATGTAGTTTGGTCGAAAATGCGCGTTATCCGTTCATCTTCACTTTGGGCTTTGCAGTTACAGAGAATCCGTGTACTAAGTAAACACACCAACCCATGGTATCTGTCTTTCCTCGCTACTGAATACCTTTTTTGCTTAAAGTCGACCTTTAGCTACATCTTTTCCCGTTCGACTCGTTTGTTCCGTTCAATTCAACAAGTGAGTTATGCACTCGGGGCGGATGAATATTCAGTTGGAACACATCCGCCTTAATCGATGTAACATGATCTAAATGCAATTCAACAAAGTGGATTACTAACTGGAAAACACACATAACATCATGGCGAAAATTGGTTCGTTCATTCTCAGACGACTTTGTTAAGATATAGTAAACATCGCGCTAGCTATGGAATAGCTAACGAATGGTAGTCTCGTTTTCAAGCATTTACTTCCGTCTGGTTGACGAGGTCGACACGGTCTGATAATTCACAATGACTTGTATCGGTAAGTATGCTTGACGCCAACCACTTGCAACAACTAACACCAGCCGACACAAATATGTCAACAAAAGTCAGCTTTGTCACACTACTACATTGCGACAAGTGTTTTAACGACCTGCAGAGTAACATTGTCCACTGGTGACCGAACCAAATACACAAAACAGGCTGCTGTGGCTCGTGCTGCCATGGAAATGCGGCTGGCAACTTGAAGAGAATCATTTCACCGCTTTTGTGTCAACATCTTTTACCGCTACCGAAATACAAGCAGTCGATACTTTTTGCTTGATGTCTTCTTTGATATTGGTTTGCTACTGGCACTCATCCAACAGTCAGCGATTTTATGTTGTTGTAGGCACAATGTGTATAAAAGTAGCAAGAGATTTTGCCAAAAATTCAGCACACTGCTTGAGGACAAATAGAGACGCTGTGTCCGGACCGCTTACTTTTCCTGAGTGAAGCTCGTTCAGTTACTTATGTACAGCCCCCCTATCGAAACTTGGCAGCCAGTCTGCAGTCAATTTGGCCTGGGCGAAGGATGAGTCGCAGATCGGATTGCCGCCGTGGCTGTTACACACAAGTCATGGCTCAATTTATTCACACTTTGGTCGAGTAACCCCGCTTAGTTGTTTCACTCCCCACAGAGTTCACGTCTGCTACAATTCCCAGCTATCACCTGAATGCACACGTTGATGGGACGATGTAGCTCTTCTTTACTAAGGACTGAGACCGACTTTACTAAGGTGTCTTTTTTAATTTTCTCAATTTTTCTACACAGTTGCTTCAGATGATGGAAGAGAACTTATATGCTCTGATGAACAGAGTGTCACATGGACTGCAAATGTCGCAACGGAAGTCTAGGTAGCTTGTCAACTGACAACAATACATGGATACATTCGTGTCAAAAAAATAAGCTGAATTTGGTGGCTAATGCCAATTCTCGTAGTTGGTCAATATCCAGTGCGGAACTTGCAATCGTTGCAACGAGTACATACCTTATGGTTTGTCCTTCAGTAGACTACGGGGCACAGCTTACTGTTGAGTGATCAGAGCTGCCAATCGGCGTCCTACTACACATGCAGAACAGCTTCACATTGTTAACAAATACCAGGCCCAGATTCTCATTGATTTGGTGGGGCAGTTTGCGATATTTTGTAATCCAAAAATATTGTCAACTTTGTTAAACTCATTAGCAAGAACACTTAGTGAACAATCGATGTGTTCTATTATAGTCACATCACACTCCTTATTCAATGCCTCTGCTTCGGGTTTCGGACAATTAAGGGAAATAATGATGTTAGATAGCACGATTGAGCGGTACGCACTGATACATCTTGGCTTGCACTTCAGAACCGAGCAACTAATACGTTGTGAAGAGAAGTGTTGGTTTCAATGACGACTCCAATGCCGCGCTTTCGGTAGGCGCAAGGGCGATCGACACGATGACACTGTGAACCCTGCTATCGATAGAAGTGCGTCATCCGCCTTGTGCAGCCAGATTTCTTGTAGCAAAATGATGTCTAGCTGCGAATATTCTCGAGAGTTGGTGGTACTACTTAACTCATCCATTTTCCCTAAAGGTAGACGGATGTTTGAGATAGGTAAGCTTGGTATGTTCATGCTTCCCGCCCAGCCGGTTCTTGTTATACAACTATTGCGTTTCTTGTGAAATTTCATTTTTATTTTTCGAGTTTAACCATTGGAAAGGATGGAACTTGTGAGGGTGGAAACACACATCGGTATTTAGGTATCGCTCGTATAGGTCAACATGATAAGGATTGTAGAGGGGTCAAACCACGTGGAATCCCGATCATTTCAATAAAACCAAACGCGTCTACGGTGATAATTTCACAGGATGGAATTGTAGAGCAACGTCATGCTTGAAGACCTCGCCTTTTTTGGACTCTGGTTATGAGCACATTTGCATATGTTTACACATTTTTATGGGAGAGATTGCGCACAAGCATTCCATCTTATTGTCTTCTTGATGTTCACCCCAGTACTCACCCATGTGTTTGCTCACAAAGCCTAAACACTTCCATTCCGACTGTCGTCTGCTTCTATCGAGCGGAGATCGTGCACCTGGTTTACTCTCCATCAGCGCTCAACACACATACTGAGGGATTGTCGATAGTTGAGTAGATCGACGTTGAGCTCTCCCAGTCGCCGCCCACTCCATGTTCGCCAGTGTCGGAAAACCTGTTGTGGCTCAGCCATCCACGAGAACCAATGGTAGTCGAGGCGCAGGCTTCATTTTTATTACATTCTCGAAATGTGTCTTTTCTCGTTATACAATCCTGGATGGTTTCAGTTCACACCAACGATTATTTCGCCCTCTATCTCTCATCCTTCTAGGTGTGTATTTGTAAATAAATAACTAAATAAATGTTTTGTTCTCGAAAATGCGTGACACATCTGCATAGGCATGAATATGTTGATACAAAATTCACGGGCGGTTAAATGTATATTACGGTAAAATTTTATCGGTGGCCTATGGATCAGTGTGCTAGATGCATATGAATTTTGTAGGTATGAATGTGTATAAAAGTATATGAGTGTGGTGCTTGGATTTGTAAATCTTCCAACGCCATATTTGTGGTTGTTTTTCAGTCGAATTGTCAGCGTTACAATGGATGAGTAGAAATTCTCGTATTGGATGAGTTATGTCTCCGTGGATTGGGTGCGATCATTCGGATACGTAAGAGTCACTGACTTTAATTAGTGGCGAGTCACATTCCCCATGTCGCAGTGTTGTTAAAGTGACGTGTGTGCCTGCCAGGCGAAAACCAACCACTTCCTGGAACACTGCCGCCGAACCATGTTTGCTCTAGTTTGCGCTTATCCTTTACGTTTACTGCCTATTTATGCTCCCGGTTGGCACGTGATCTAACTTTATTGGAACTGATCGTAACCACTGTTACCCCCATTGCTCTTGTACCCATATGATTGTAAAGGTCTGACGATGAATTCGTCGAAGACAACTGTTTATCTTCTGTCCCTTATTTTTGATGGTTAAATGCGAAATTTCCGAATCACCCAGCTGGCACTACGAGGAGGTTCCAATGAGTGCTTATAGGCTTTCGGCCTCTTGTTTCTATGCGTGTATTCTTCTTTTGATTTTTTTCTCCCCAAAAACATCCATCCTTTAGCGGATTATCCGTCTATGTCTCAGTGCATGGGACAAGGATGGGGATGGAGTTATTGAAAATTCTGGCTTTCCTGATCAGACTTTTGATACTTGGAAGACCACTGGTATGAGGTGAGTACTCAACTAACCTACATTGGTTAGTTTTCTGTGTGAGCGTTCGCTTTTGGTGTGTCACTTTCGTTCCTTTCTATCCACTCTTATCTACCCATCTGTATGACTGACTGTCTTTGATAACACCCCCATTTTGTATTTACCATGCTATTGTTCCTCAATTAAGCTGAATCGCTTTGAAATTACTACTGGCGTACACTTATCGTGTTTTCGTAGTTGCTAGCTGTTTTGAATCGCAGCTAGACCCTCTCGAGGATGACATACTTTTCCTGGTGACCCTGCTCACTGACTTCGTGGTCACGCCCTATACTTTGGAATGAGCGTCTGGGCGTTGGTTGCACGGCGCAGACCCTGTGATGTATGTTGTTTAGTGTATCATCTTTAGTCTAAACCGTTGTATGACGAGTCCTGTCACATCTCACGCAATCGACTGACGTTACTTTCTCTAACACATCGGATGCCGTTACTCACAGATGTGTCACAAATTTACCCCAGCATAACGTACTGAGAATGACCTCGATGAATACCCTAAATCTTACTTCCATCTAGGTGGGCCATTCGTTGTGTTTTGGACCCCTACCGTGTGTCTTGGATTGCTACACGCATTGTCTTTTGAGGCTAAGATTTACTTAGAAGTGAACCTGTCATTCCGGTCACTGGGATCATCACTCAAGTGGAGAGTTTCGGAGCTGCTTTCTCCTAACACTGCACTCCACGACCGACCGGTTTCGTCCTGATTTGGACTTGTCTGCTAAAGACAGCTTGAGCTGGGAGGGGAACCCAACACAGTGGTTGACGGCTTTCATCTTGGTCATTAGGCCAGAGCTTTGTGAGCAGTGTTTAACACAGTGGTTAGAAGGTCGTTATTGGGTCTTGTAATACCTACCGTGGTTCTGGATTACGACCCGTAATCTCGCTTGAGGCTACAACTTATTTTGATGCAAATCTATGCCATTTCGATCACTGGGGACCGCATCCGAAGTGGAGAGTTTTGGAGCTGCTTTCTCCCAACACTGCACTCCACGACCGACCGGTTTCGTCTTGATTTGGACTCGTCAAGTAAAGATACCTTGAGCTACATTGTGTCCCGTCGTTACGCCCCATTTGCACTTGTGAGACACTGTGTGATCCTTAGTTCCCGGGGCTTACCCTACCTGTCATTGCTATTACACACAAGTAAATGTGCATGAACTGGTCGGAATTACGCCATTCGATCAATTAGAGCTGGAAGCTGGTGGGTTAGCCGGGTGCGGACTGGTACTCACTGATTGAACCTTATCTGCTTCGTTTGCAAACTTGTGCGCTGACACTGTCTATTCTACCTGAACGATCTACCTACGATGCAGCGTCATACATAACCACTTGTGGGAAAGTCGAGTCGTGTGATGAAGCACAACATCTCATTCATTGTTGTGGTAGTCAGTAGACTCCACCTCGTAGTTATCACGCTATTTATTCTATTTACTCACTTACCGGGCCCGTTTCCGTCTCCGGTAGACCTTACAACACACCTATCATATCACTTGTTCTACTTGTCTCGTTCTGTTCCGAAGTTCTCGATGACCTGATGTGCAGTCTTTCAATGGAGATGTGGCTATTTATCACCAATTTTAACGCCACCACATCGTTTGAGTTCGTTTGCGTGATTCGATATCTAAACCTGGAGCGTAAACGAATGGTGTCTTTTGACGTCTGTTCTCTACCTACAAATGTCCTTTGGAAGAGACGCTGAACATCGCGGTTGGTTACGTAAGTAGTATGGGGTTTTTCCAGCACTGATTAAAGAACTTTATATGTGTACAAGAGATGTTCAGTTTTGTCTCAATAGAAATCTGTGTGAAAATTGTGGGTATAGCGATGGGTGTTCAACTTACCCCCATTTTAGCCGATATCTTCGTGGCTCATCTAGAGAACACCAAATTGTGTCACTCCATACAGGAAGAACGCATGCACGCCCAGTACATTGGTGACACTTTTGTGGTGGTGGGCTACGCTCCATAGAGTGCACATATTCTCGCTTCTATATGGCACCATCAACCGGACGGTGGCACTGTGAAGACCAAGAGAACTACAACCGGACGACGCTATCAATGTTTCCGGTTGACAAACGCCCAGGATTTTGGCAATGCGGGGTGAAACCCTTCTCCATAGTGCCACCAGTAGACACGCAGCTGCCCAGGTTTACAAAGCTACCAACGGGTTTAACTTGTGTGCCTTCAAGAATAATCACGTGGACGTCCGAGTACCGATCCTGAAGCAGCATTTTACACTTTGACGCAGCCAGGCACATCCCGTACTTCGATGTCTCAATCACCATACGGTCTGAAATGGTTTGCATACTCTGTGAGTCGTCACTAAGTTGGGCGATATCATCGGCATAACCAAATTCGGTCGTCAAATTGATTGGTAGTATCTGTAGACGGCAATTTTGCTAATCTTCTTAAGCTCTCGACAGGACATCTTCAGTCGCAAAATTGGAGAGGTAACGGGATATAGGGCAGCCCTGTCGTACACCGCTGTTTACAGCGAATGAAAAGGAAAACTTTGCCTCACTCTGTCGGAGATGTGGAGATGGAGCACACGTAAGATGGCAATGTAATGTACTTTTTTGGGACCCCGTTCCTTTGCAATTAACACCATAGCGCGGATCCATCAACCGAGTCGGTTGCAGTACAGATATACAAGAATGCGACGATAGTGGAGGTGGCGGTGTTCCAGGATTTGGCGGCGCCTGATGATTTGATCCACGCACTCGCAGCCTGGACGAAAGGCGGCTTCTCCCCGGTAGTGCGATTCAGGAATCAGGGATGGTACGAAACAGAACGGATAAAACCGAATTGACACTAATCCCCCGGTGACTGATGCTTGAAGTGCAAGCACTCTTCACAAGTATCGGGACAGCAACTTGCCTCAGGAAGAAGACACCTTTTATGCCAGATTTTGAAAAACAATGTGGTTAACAGGCTGATGATAATGAAATCCAATTGAACTGGGTATGAATATTCCAAATACTTTAGATCATTGGTAGTCCGGGTTGGTTGCTCATCTGTTGGTCGGTTCTCCGAGCTTGCTAAAATGCTTGCACACTGCATATCGCCGCACTGATGGTGCCACCTTGCATGGTGGCGAAACGTATGCAATCACTTTATCAAGCTCAAAGAACCGATCAACATGTTGGTATGGATATGTTCGGCCCATCGGTCGAAACGGCCAGAGAGTAGCGGCCACAATTTCCAAAATACGCTGAGGCCAAGAGGCCAGACAGTCTACATGGCTTTCTCCCAGCGCTTTGCGACGAACTCCCCCGTGCTGTCCCACCGTTTCCGTCGATTCGTACGCCCGGATCCAGTTGCGACAAGTTTTCACGTTCACCTTCAGTATGCAAGCGACCTGCTTCCAATCGTCCCCTTCGTCGTACGCTTTCAGTACGACGTTCTTCACCTCCCTCGAGTGCCGAACATACCAGCCAACCATTGCGTTTAGGTGAACTGCACATTCAAAAGCATACGGCAGATTTATTTGGCTGTGGCTCGTTATACCAAACCAATCGTCATTCAAATCCTTACTCTCGTTCTAATTGGTGGGAATCGCTTCCTAGGACAGCGAAAGAAAGGCCAACCTTATGCATCGGCCAGCGACACTGTCCCTGGTAGGAGCTGAAGCGTCCCAACTGCACCCCTATGACTTAGTGCGTCTGAGGTCCAATTGGCTGAAGGCGACGGGCTATACACGCACACCTCCACACCTGCACAAGTGAGTGGGGTACGCACAGAACAAACTAATTGAGTAGACTCATGTTGAATGCCCCCTCAGATTATTCCTGTTGCCCAAGTGGATAACTTGTCCGGGAAATGGTATAGATAGGTTTAGGTGAAATATAATTTCATGGCTCGTGGGAGATCTCAACTCATTCACAATACTCTGATCTTACAAAGGCGACAAACCTCGATGGAGAGCCATTCTATGGTTCGCGCAAGATCAACTTGCTGCCCGATCTATAAGTGTACATACGTTGAAGCATTCCAAACTGAATGAGGACCGAAACCCACGGAGGCCCTCTGGGCATGGTCTGTGTGCTTCTACGAAACTATCGAGAGTAGGATCATGTAAAGTGGAATCGGCTGGTAACGGATAACAGTGATTGGTAACAACTAAACATGTGGTGTATGGAGGTGTCGGGATACCGGAAGTTAAAGCAACTGAACGCGCTAATGCAGAAATGCGATCCAAGTTTTATTCATTGACGGTGATACTACCCGGTCGCCCAAACCAATGTATCGAGTTTTCTTAAGGTGCATCACTCCGAGCCTTGGGCTAATCGCCTACCCACAAGGCAGCGTAGCGAATTCAGTGAGTCGTTCCCATTCTGTATCGGTAACTGACGGCTCGGTTCATACGTCTTTCGTTTGGTCGGCTGCGAAACAGGGGCCCGTCCTCCCCATGCTTCCAGCACACTTGCTGGAGTGCAATTCTCCACCAGAGTGAAGCGAGGGGCAGTGCCTTTATTTAGTGGCCAATCACATCCGGTGTTGTTAAACAGACATTTGTGCCATATTATAACGAGAACGCGTGTCAGGCGGAATCACCATGTCCTGGAACACTGGCACTGAACACTTCACTGGAGCGGGCTAGGCCCGAACCACCCAGTTGGAACCACAAGGTAGTTTGGCAAGTCAACCGCAAAACGTTTGAGTTTGTGGTCAATCTCGCGTTGCTCTGATACTACGCGGCATCTTCGCTGGCGCAGCTAAGCATCGATTTCTGGTCTCGATCTATCATTCCCAATCATGGAGTTTTCATCCATTTTCTGTAAGCGACTAAAGAGAATAAACGAAATATACCGAATTGAAAGTATTCCGCTGCAATGTTGGTTCTTCTTGCGTTTTTACTCTTCGTGAGTGGCATTTGTCTGTATAGGCAAGATCCGTATCGCCCAAATGATTGCTTAAGACCATTGCGTTAAGGCTTTCGGTTAGCGTTTCCCTCAGATTCGGCATTAGCTCACTTAGACTTTCCATTCGGAGGTGCTTCTTGTGATACTTCGTATTGTGCCGATACTCTAGCTTATTGTGTATGCCTGCAGCTGCACCGGACTCTGCCGACCAAATGGTCGATTTGCGAGAATAGATTACGAGACAACTTACACTACCTTGAATCTGTGCCCTCAGCCTTTACCAGTTGAGCGTTAGTTCATCCGATCGAAGGTGGGGCGAGTGCAGAGTTGATTTGATATCCTGAGCTGAAACTGTTCTCATCCTTTTGGGCCGATTCTTTTCCCTTCGCTTTACACATGTCCCGATCTCAATAATTTTAACACTTTATCGGCGCCGTACCAATCTGTTCTTCAACACGCTGGTGTAACAACTGAGATGTGTCACCATCGCACTGTCCACTTGACGCAACTGTCCAGGTGAACGGAACATGCTGTTCGGCACCAAATCAGGGATTGAACTGGTTGTTATGTGAACGCAGTTGAAATGGCTGTTTCTCATGCTGACACACAAGCTGAATGCGATATGTATCCTCACTTTCCTCCCGTTGCCCAACTATACCTAGAAACGAGTTAACATGAAGCAATCCAACTACTGATCTACAAGAAATATGGGTCTTTTGAGGAAATCTGGTTTGTATGTGTGGTATGTTAGACCCAGGCAGACAGGCACCACGCATTGAGGAAAGCACTAGACGGCCGTTTCGTTTTATTGGGACTTGTCATTTGCGCTCATCCTCAAAATCTTGCCGGATTCGAACCCACGACCTTACTCTTGCGAGCCAGCGACTTATGCCACTTTGCCATGGGCGATGGCAGCAGATCGCCGTAGCTGATATCTAATTGCGATCTAGTGAGGCTCATCCACCACTGTCATGCTTATTATGAACTTGAAAAGAAGAGGGTTGGCCCCAGTGCAGCGTCCCTCTGTAAGCCACCACCAATCGAGGTGGTGTGTAAGCTACTAAGGCGATTGCTGCTTATTTGTAATTAGTAGGGGGATTTACTTGGTTTTCGTAAAGCTTCGTCGCAGTTCGACTCAGGCAGGCAGCCACCACACCTCCGGGAAAGCGCTTTCCTGGTTGTGTGATGGCTGTCTGCCTGAGTCTAACTGCGACGAAACTTCACAAATGCCCACTAAAACCCTCTACTAATTACAAACCTCTAGTGTTTGTCTGTTCTATTCTAACTGCAACTTTGGGTGGTTGCGCTCCCCTCCATTCCGAATTTTGTTACACGTGCAACGGACAGAACACATCCAGAGACAGAGAGCCTTATTGTTAAACCGCTCTATGTGAATAACGTACGGACGCAGTCGATCAAAATTACAGCTGTCCTTATCGCGTTTGTGTTGGTTGTATTTACGCCGTATCATCTGGCGGAATTGTGCTTTGAGTTAGCTGTCTCAGGCGTTCATGACTAATGCTCATGCAGTTCCCTGCACTTTTCCTCCACACAGATATCCGGCGACGATCGAGATGCATATCTCGGGATCTATCCGATATTAAGTCCACTGGAAATATCTTTCCATACAATCGTACCCCTTAGCTTTGTAAATGTAATGCTTGCGATATGTTTTGTGAGAACCCTGGCAGCGTATAAGGAAATGTTTAAGAACCGCATTGTCGTACACGTGATATTAGTCATGAACAAATTGGCAACACTTGCCACAGCCCTCAACCGCGTCTACTCCGACCATTTTCAGCTCATTCGTCGCGTCCGTTGTTTCGCCTCACTGTAACTTTGACCAAAGTGGGAACCCTCTACTACTCAACCTAGAGCAAACATAGCGAACCGGTACCTAAGACATTGCGTAATTCCTCCATCAAGAAATCTGTTATTTCCAGGTGACCTCATAGTCTGAGCAATCGAACCTGCCCTTTCACGGCGTGCTGCTCTCGGCGTTCGTGTTACGGAAACGATCACCTAGCTCCATATCAACGCCATGGTCACGCATTTCGCTCTTCATGCCTTTAGGAATGCATTAGGAATTTACCTATAGGTCTTATTCCTGTTGGTGCTGAGTTGATTGATCTCCTTTTATGTTCATTACACTCGTGTCTTTCATCCGTGGAAACATGTTAGTGTGCAACAAATCGGCCGTTCTGTTCACTTCTGAGTCATTGTATGGCTGCGTCGGCGATTCCGTGCTCCCACATTGTTATCGACAACAGGGTTCAATGCTTCTGTAAATATTTTTCCTGAAGGCTAACGGCGTTCAGATAACTGTATTGAAGTATCCGTCTACTGAATATCTGCATCTCGCTTAAGGCACTGTCCATCTGTTCTCCTTTCATGGGAGTGCTTACACGGGTGGCTTGTGGGTCGCCTGTCTTTATGGAGCTCACGATATGCTGGAGAAAGCTTTATCTACCGACTCACCCTTCATGGACTACCTGGCTCAGAACGTGGCGGATAATGGCACTCCTTGGACAGTTGTAGAGCAAGAACTTTTCGCAGCATTACAAACAGCTAAAGCTGCCTACGATAAAGTTCTCTGGACTGGTATGTTTCGGCGACGTTGAGTTGTTTTTCTGAATGATTTGTTTCACTTGTTCAATTTGACTTGACCATCAGAGTCCTTTGCCTCACTGTTGGTAATGGAGGGTGAAATATTTTACCACATGTTTCTGGACATCATCCGGTTGTTAATGCGGGGTTGAAACCTGTTGACCATTTGCCCCATTCGCCACATCGAATTTTTCCTCATGCCGCGCAGTGATTGCTCGAGAGTGGATTCTTGAAATATGTCTCGTGTGATCGTGTGGGGGACAAGCGTCTTCAGCTACTTTTTAGTGCTCTGCTCAACCCTGGAATTCAAACTCAGTCTTATTGTTGTGCAATGACTTTCTCTAGAAGCACAGCTAGGCGTCTTTCATTGTCTGCTCCCGCTGTGGAGTAGGATGCTATAAGTAACGTAAAACATTGTCCCTTTCGAAACGAGCAGTCAGGCAAGATCGTTTGTCTGCTGATCTCTTCCGCCAATGTTTCGTTACATTTTTTTCTTTTCTATGCTTTGCGCATCATGCTCTCACTTCTGACTACACCAGGCATGTCAGCCAACAAAAGTTTTAGTCCATTTGCGCACCACAAATTACATTTTTTACCCCCTAATCCAACTCCATTAAAATTCATTACATTATAGGTGTTCTTATTTAATTATAACATTACATATTAATTTGCCGTTTTTACACCAAATAGAATTCAAATTACACAAAGACCAGAATAACCCACTAAACCTATAGTTTAGACACCCCTATAAAATGAGGGAGAAACCAACAAAGAGATAAAAATACACTAAAATATTCATCACCTCGGCATAGCAAGTTAACTTATGTAGAAAAACAAAAAAGTAACGAAAAATAATCACTTTTTTCAAAAACTAGACAACTTCAGGTAACGAGACGAGAAAATTTTACAAAAGCATACGAGAAGTTGGTACCCTAAAAGTATTTTAATTTTTAGCAATTTTTCATAAAATGCAAGTAAAAAATCTCAGTTTTACCCTAATCCATTGCACAATTCCTTCTTAGGAATCCACGACTTGGAAACGCGTCATACTCACTTATACCATAAATGCACACTTACTTCAAAACGCCACCCACAAAATACAAAACCCCCAATATTACAGGTTTTAGAGAAACACCCCAAATATAAAGCTTACCAAAATCAAACACCATCCGAGACAAGAGACCAAACTCTTAACGATATAAAACAAGAACATAACAACCCAACAATCTCTTTAAACCATTCTCAACAACACTCCACGACACAACTCACTGCACCACACACCAACCTTACACGGGGAAACATACAAATAACACCCCCAAATACCTGTACCAACAACATAAAAAAAGATTTGATAACACTTAAACTAACACCCTAGAATACAACCTGCCATAAACACAGCCCACAACTTTACCAAACAAATTAACAAAACATAATTCACAAGCACACTAACATACCCAATAATCAACCCCCATCTTATCAGAAACAACCAACAAGGCCAATCGAAAAGAATACGAATACGTGCACATGACTCCCAAAAACAACATAAGTAAAGGTACCAAATCAAATTCATAGCACTTCTCAGAAAATAACAAATGATTACAAAATAGGCCCTGAGGAAGGAAAACCACACAACGAAAAGAATCAACAAATATCGAACAACAGATTCAAATGACCCAGAATAACGAGAAACATAAACAGCAACCGCTTCTTGCCTACTGCCCCAAGAACTCCTAAAATCCCCCACATTTATAAGAAGAACACTTACAAACACCATGAGTCAACAACTGCAACAAAGCAAGATAATAATCCTTAAAAACATAACAATAAGCACCAGGATATATTATTGCCACGTAGATAACGCAGCTAACTTCTTTAAATCCCCAAAGATCGAAGCACATCAACCCGACACCAAAATGGTTAACAAAGCCACAAAAAATAACAATAAATCCAAAGCCTTAGAACCAAACAAATAAGAATACCGGGCAAGAAACCAAACACCAGCCGCAACTAAAGTCGAAGAATGAACTAAAGCTATAACAGGAGTGGGAACCCGCATAGCTTCCAACGATCAAGATACAAACGGATAACTCGCACTGTTAGTCGCAATCACTAATAAAGCAGAAAATACAAACCCTCAACATATAAATCCTCAAACACTATTCCATAACTACCCGCCAACGAAAAATAAAGCCACATCTCCAAACCGGGACATAAACAAAGTAACTAAGGAAGCCCGCAATCTAACACCGCATAAAACAATATCAAAAACCTAACCAACCCAAATACTCCCAAAACATTAAAGTAACCAAAGGACTACACCTGGAAACCAAAACTACCGTAACCCCTAGAAATCAAACCATAGACAAACAACACACTTCTAGCTCCCAAATAATAGAAGTAATAAACCAAAAATAATACCACACAATAAACACCATCCTCAGACAAAACATCCCAGTATTCTCAAACGCAAAAGGGATTTGACCACCCAACCCAGAAATATCTAACACAAGCAAAGACACAACAGCCCCTATCAAAGCCCACAAATCAGAAAAACATCAGAATCAAAGCCACAAGAAAGGGAAACAACATCTTTGGTAGGATCGACCCAATCCCCAAGTATGAACGAAACCCAACCCGCAATCTATGTTATCAAATCAAATGCAACCATACAAGAGGTACAAATCCATATTTGACGCTTAAAACCAACCCCTTCAATCTGGCGTTTGTATGTTAGTAATCGTCGCAAACGAAACGATAAAGGTGACTTCAAATTACCAACGGAATCAGCCCAGTTACACCAGAATTAGAGAGGAACAACCCATAAATCAATCCTAAATTTACCCCATCTAATCTGGCATCGCTAACCATCCTAGCTGAGAATACACTCACCTCAGAGGTTACAACCCCACATACTAACACAACATATACTAAACCAGTCAACTAACGGTAAAAGGAATCCTTACAACACAACACACCAATACAATACCTATTAAAAAATACACAAAACATACAATAAGAAAACCCCTCAAAACTCCTACAAAGGCAACGACTTCTGTCTATGAAATATCCCTCAAAATCAGTAAATATATGTAGGCTACCAAAAAAAGAAAAAGGAGAGAAACCCTCCCCAAGCTAGCACCAACGGAAGGAATAGCTTTCGGATTACGCACAGAAACAAAGATAAATAATACATAAATACCACCGATATACACCAACATAAACAACACTGAATACCAAGTAAACCCAACCACCATAAAAGTCAAAACTTTTACACACAAAGCATTAACTATCAGAAGTATACACTAAACAACAGAATGCGCACAAAGGAAAAAGCCAAGATCTTCGTACGATGAAGACTGGTGAAAAAAATTCTAAACATACAACGGAATTAAAACGTACTTCGGTTTACAATTTCTACAACAATGGGCGTATACGCATGCCCAGCGCCACACAACTCACTACAATGTCCAACAAATACCGCAGCACGATTCGAAAAAATATTAATCTGTTTTGTCCGACCAGGCACAGCATCAACCTTCACATTAAATGCAGGTAGGACAAAAGAATCTATAACATCCCTCGAAGTTACCATAAACCTATAACTCTCATTAACGTACAACCGCAGTGGCTTATCCACTGAGCTTATAAAATCACCAACCAACGAATCATAAACACCAGGCTCACTAAACACTTCATAACTCTAATACCACTGATTTCCAGTAACCTTAATCACAAGTTACATCATGGGCAATTGCGCTCTACACTCGAAGCATGCTATTTATTCGCTTTTTGGTACATAGTTCCAATGTACGGACAGAGTTCCATGGCGTTGTTTGCATTCGAGTTTCCAAATCCTAGCTTTTTCTCGGTTTAGGTTCTTTTTACCATAACATACAATAAGCCTTTCAACGTTAAATCGGTCAATTGGCACTGCTGAATGGTGGCGTCTCAGTTCATATTTTGTTGTCCAACTCGGGTATCGGTAGCAGTGATTCCATTCTACGTTTTGTTGAGCCAATGACCCAGGTTAATTACAGTATTGATGGCACTGCCGAGAAGTGTTTAAGTTGGATTCTGTTTAGTTTACTTCGTCTAATTCAGCCTGTCTGCGAATGAAAATTCGAAAGGAATTGTCCCCCTGTTAGTGTGTACGTTGGAGTTAGGGACAGTCTTTTGCCAGTTGTCTTGGGTAGTGTTTGTTCTAAGGTGTCTATCCACAGACATTAGCTATTCGGTTTGACGGGCAAGGCTGGTACCAGTGTCATCTCAAGTAAAAAGCTATGCTTCATGCAGCGAAGTTACTTGAAATGCTCTTATCAAAATATCACGCCAAAAATCGAGGAAATGAACTGAGGAAGGAAGTTGGTCGATGAAGATGGTACAATGGAGAAACTGCAAGTCAGAAGCAATGGAGCAACTGTATGAGGATTTTCCAAACAGGAAAATCAGAAGCCCCAGATTGTGAGATGAAGTCGCCATTTCGTGCATTCTTATCAATCACAAAAACATACAATAATGATATGTAAATGAACAACCAACAGTATCAGAGGTCATATATATCTCTTCGGATTCGCGCTACCAGGGTAGGCTTAATGTCACAGTCAGCTGTTTTTGGATGCACAGTGGCGGTCGCTCGCGATCGATACCGACGGCCTCCAATTACCTAAGCATATGAGGCTACCGATCGCGCATTAGGACAATGAATGGCTCATCAGGATCGACTCGGTGGCCGGTGGTAAGCAAGTGCTTTGTGATTGCCGAGGCAGCTCAGTTTCCCGATTCAACCGATTCCGTCGTTACAGACGTCATTCGGCTGCGTTTACCACTTGTGGATGAGTTCATTGACTCTGACACCTAAACTTCGGGTAGTACGCCCAACGTAACTGGCATCGCAGCTACAAGTGAATGTATCTAAACTGGGACTGTATTGTCTCGTCCTCGGTGTGTTAATCGAACACATAAGCATAGGTCTTGTCGAGGTGAGCATCCACAGTTCCGCAGCATTGTACGCTCTTTTGTGTGAAGCCCTGATCCGTTTCTCGGTCACCTTTGGAGGGTAGCTCGATGAGGATTTTAGTGACTGCGCAGTATTCGATAAATTTTCTAGCAGGCCGCGTAACCTATCTCGAGGTCACTTTGTAATAAGAGTACATGCACCTACATTAGCCATTCATCCGATACGTAGCACTTAGTTTCACTACATTTCGGAGACTGGACCTTGGCTGTTCAACTGAACTGAGCGATCTGTCACTCGGGCTTTCTGTCCGACTGAACTCAATGTTTGCAATCAGTGCACGCCGAGGTAACCGGCTAGCGGGCTTGCAAAGTGACACGGTTAAATTTCCTGGCCATTTCCAACACAACCAATTCTTTAAAGCAGCTTCAGAGGATTGTTACCAAACAGCAGGTTTTGTCGTTCGGTGGAGCTCTTTCAGGCATCAATGATGAAACCTAAAATGTTTTTTACTGTTTTCAGCACACACCAGCCACATCTCTGATCCACATAGCAACACTATTCACAAAGCCGCCTTGTATGGCTGGCGGCACCCGCTTCCGCGTTTGTCTGTCACTGCGTCCTCCATGGGGACAGCCACAGGATGCCTGTGCCTACAGGCAGACCATGGCTAGCTTGCACTGCACCACCCACAGTTCCATCTACACACTCCTTGTCCAGTGTAAATCCGAAAGGATAAGACCGGAAGACATGTGGATGGAAGCCACGTTTCATCAACCGAACCGGCCTACTCTCCTTCAATATGCGCAGCAGCAGCATTCCCATTTGTCTGAAATGGAAATCATACATACCAGACGTGTACAAGACGGTGGCTTGCTTGCAACCCGCTCCACACCGAATGGAACCAATTACTGAGATTAGCACTGTCACGACGACCATACACGCCGTCCCTCTAGCAACGATTTTCAATCTCCTGGAGCCGGTATAGTCAGTCTGATGTGTGACAGAGTGCCACACCGGGGGTAACAATCAATCAACCAACCAACAACCTCGATTTGTAAGAATCCCAACATGCATTCACACTAACAAACCTAATGTAACGATGATGTAGCGTACGTGCCTTATCGACACATTACTGGCCTGCCTTAGTAAATTGAATCGCAAGCAACGTACTTAAGAAGCGCTGCGCTGATGATGATTTCATATATAGCTTATTCGTCTTATCTTCGATGTTCGTCCCATGTGGCCACGCTGGTGGCTTGGCTCGGGCAGTTGAGACCCTAGATGCCACAGCACCATGCGCTTAACCTCAATGGGCCATCCACCATCGAAGCCTATCGATGCCGTACACAGCATTTTCTTTCCGCATGCAGCGGTGGTTTCCCATACATTTGGGTAACCACCTTTTTATCAGGTATCGTCATTCGCGCCGATCAACCGCCTTTGATTCCCAACCCATGAGATCAACATTATTTCATGACAAACTCACCTTGATCAAGTTCTTGTAACGTAACTACGCTTTTCGCGCGTGCTGATTCCCTTGGCTCAGTTCTTCTTACAGCGGCTGCTTGGGTATCCGTGTCGAATCCATACGGGTGATATGGCCCAGCCACGTCAGTTGCCGCAACTGAAGTATGCAGCCCACTGCATACATGCCACTGCGGCGCAGCACTTTCGTGTCTGCAACTCGGTCACCCTTGCCGATTTACAGAATCCGACGCAGTTACTGCTAGTGGAAGTGCTTCAGATATCTGGCCTCCTTTCGATACATCATCCAGGTTTCGCTGCTGTATAGAAGAATGGACTGTACCATAAACTTGTATACCATCAGTTTCGTTCGAACGGTAAGCTAGTGCTTGTTCCACACACCTTTGTCCATTTTGCGAAACGCTGCTACCGCCTTCGATACGCAGATGCTTTGCTCGTTCGTCATGTACATTTCGGTAGACATTATGCTCCCAACATAGCATAGTTTCTATTTTGTCTCCAATACCTCATCGGCATCCTAGATTTGCGGCAGGTCCACAAAATTCCAGGTGAAGACTAACAAATACACTTGCTTGTGTTTATGGTGAGCCCGAAGTTGCCAACTGTCGAACGATGGCCGAAGTCGTGTGCTGCAACTGCTGCGTAGTTGTCCACAAACAACAACATACAGATAGTTGTCTCACGTAATAAGGTTCTCGCCCCGAAACGACATACGCTTAGCAGCCCACTACCAATAAGATGCTACACACGTACACCGTAATCACAAGCAGCATCAAGAGCACAATACATCATTGCATTAAGACAAATATTAAAAAAGATAGGAGCCAAGACACAGCCTTGCTTCGTACCAGGGACAACGTCATTGTCATCCGAGGTTTGCCTGATTACCGTGCTCGCACAACCAAACTTACTCAATACCAGCCACAATGCCTCGCGTTTCACCGTATCAAATACCTTGCCGAAGCCAACAAACAGCGAGTACAACGGCTGGTGTCGTTCTCCTGCAAGTGACGAGCTGCCAACGCCATCTCTGTGATGCTGTCGCCCGAACTGAATTCACATTGTTCTTCCGCCACATGTGGTTCAACGACCTGAATGACTATGCGGGTAAGCAGGATTCGGGCGATTATCTTTCCACTATAGGATTGTGCACCCTTATCCCAATCATCAAGTTCATATCCCCATCCGTCTCCTTGCCTGGTCATACGAGCCTCAGCAACTCCCGCTTCGGTGATACGGCTACCACAAGTGTTTCAACCGCCTAGAAAAGCAAACCAGTCGATCACCGAGTCGCTCTTTATTAATGGCGAGAACAACTGACTTGTCAGCTCGAACAAAGGGATACAAGATGTGCAGTAAGCGTCGTGGGCTACGCGCCACTCTACTCAACAAAACTTACATAACAACTATGCCTGCTTCATCCACCAAGACTGTGGACTTTCACTTTGTAGTCTGTATCGACATCCTTTCGATTAAACTGCACATCAATGAAGAGGGTTTTACGACGTTCACATCAAAGTGTGTTTTGTGACTGGCTGGTATTTTGCACTTTCAACCGCTGTGCATTGCAAATGGATGTCAGGACGTTTGCCATCATTTTGCCAGTGGTTGTCTGGCTTCATTTAAGCGGCACCAAACTATCTTCCAGAAGTTGTATCCTCAAACCGCCCGTGTTTGCTCCTGCATTACGCCAACCATATCGAGCTTACAGTCCATAAACTTGGCGACAGTGATCAAATTTCGACAGATATATGCTAGCGACGTGTTCGCTGTCCTGTGTGAAAAAATGTTGTGACTATTGATCAGATTAAAACTGATGTCTGATGGCGCTGGGGAATTTTCACCTTTCTTACTTCACTGGATCACAGTAGTACACACATCCTCGAGTTTGTTTGTATCCTAGTCTAAACTCAGTATGAAAAACAACTGTGTCCGCAATCAACATCTTTATTTTGGAGGTGACATTATGATGCACGCGGTCTGTGAATGGATTGCGACGCGCTATCTCGATGCCGACGGCGATTTACTTTGAGATGAACCTAGGTCGATTCGGTCACTGGGATCCTAGTTGCAGCACACGCACATACATGTTAGATTGCTTGCAGCAGCGTACTACTGCGAGCGGGCATCGTCTGCGATTAACAACTTTATGCGCATTTAAACAAAAATTTTCTCCCGGTGAATTGTTATGGAACCAGTCAAGAAAAGCTCTCTCACAACTTGGCTCTGCGAATTGATGAGCTGAGGTCGACAAACCTGTTTGTGTGCGCGTCTTACTGGTCAGCTGGCTACGGATCGGTGATGCGTTTGCCAATTAGGTCACTCGTACTCTTGATGCTCGGCTGATTTTGCTTAAGAAAGTTCAATGCCATTCGTCCACCTATCCTCATGAGTTCATGTTTGCGTGCACCTCTCATACTTTATCCTCGCAACGGACGCTCATCGACCTCTGGCCCCCTTCTCTCAGGAAACTACTATGCTTACCAATCCTCACCCATCGACGACCACGACGCCATCTTGTCCGCCCAACTATGCGGTCACTGGTTCCTTCGAACTTCCGGTGCTCCCACTGATGCGGTGAGTCTGTTCCTGTTGTGCAGTCAGTACAACTGTCCTCATTCTTTTTCACTGAGTTAAGCTGCATTTACCGCGTTACACTATTGATGAATGCGCTCCACTGACTTTCGGCAAAGGGGCATTTGAAGTAACGGTCAAAGTTCACTTGCGTGATCGCTACCAATTCAGAGTGTTGGTAACTGGTACACTTGGTCTAACAAAAGCCTAGTATATGCTGAGTTGTCCGTCCACCTTGTGCCGGATTAGTTAAGTTTTTATTGTCCATCAGGCACGACCGCCCGATATATAGATGATATATAGATGAATTAGTGTCCGACACGGCATTTGTTGTCAATAAAGTCACCAAAGGCCAATCTACACCGTAGCACCACGCTTTTAGTTACATTGCGTTGTTGCTAATATCTATAGCCACGCTTACTGTCCAGATATGTTGTTAGATACTACAGACCACATAGTTTTGCACACAAATTTCGCTCATGTAAACCCCTGGTTAAATCATGGTACTTCCATTATCACGAACATTTTTGCCTGCATATTTTGTTGATAGATCTTACCAAGAGACCACGTTTTGGCCACTTTGGAAACGATCCGAGACAACAATTGGCTAAGTATACAGAACGGTGCAATAGGAGCTATCAACGCAACATTGCCGGATCGTAAAAGAACTTTGCACAGTGTTCAGGCTGAAGAATTCTGGGTGGGCATAAATTATGCACTCGCTGCGACCATGATCATGGAAGTGAGTACTTATTTCTTGTTACTGTGTGCAATGAGCAGAGATTCTCGTTCTGGCTATCGTATAAATGATCGGTTAATCCTTGTATAAAAATCCCTTATGAGATTACAAGTGGTCGCTTTCCTGTGTCGCGCTTATGGACTGAACATTTCGTTCTTCCATCCATGCGAATGTTTCCAGTCATTCATATGCTGGACTGTTGTATCGCGCTCATCAGCCGATTCTTATTGATCCTAGTGATAACCGCACCGCGCACCTAAACTACCGGTTGGCTGTGGTGGTGGTGGTAGTGGTGATAACCCATTGTTGTGGGCTTATGGGAAATTTGCAGAATCGGAAGCATTATAGTGGAGCGATACGTATTTGCTTTCTCAGCGGCGGCTTTATGACAATTGATCTGCTTCCCTTCGTTGTGTTCCTGTCCCACAAATTACAATGGGTGGCATCTTTATCAATCTGCTGACCTTCGATACTTTGCCTTGGTCGTAACACACGAATAATTCCGCCTTAATTTTTCACTAACCTACTGACGGGGGTGACTCACTAGTGATGCATTTTTCTGATATGATGTCACCAGAAGAGCGTATTACGGTGTTGGCATCAATGAACTTGGTGGTACAGCTTGAACACCTTGACCCCAAGGTAGGAGCATTAACATTTATCCGTATGGACCGGCTTTCTTCCGAATGCATATTCCAATTTAATCGTTTCATCTTACTCTTTCAGCCAGAAATGTCTGCTGAATGATTGAGTAGGGCGCAACTCACGGGCGAGCGTCTCTGTAGTGACCGATCTGAAACCATGTGTGCTTGGGTCCCCTCTTCTCATGGACTATAAGACTGAGTCCATATGACATTGTTCACACTACCGCCAAACCACCAATGAGAGTCATGGGTCGGTCCATTTGTTTAGATATCCAATTAACCCTGATGGTTAGATCGTCAGAGAAATTACTGAGGATTAGGAAGGTTTGCGTGGTTTTCTGATTACCCGATCATACCTAGATTCTATATCAGTCTAATGATGGATGATAGTGTGGGTCTGCTTTGTGATGCTTCCAGTGACGCAGCGACAACAGCACTGCACTCCATTGCTGGGCCACGCCTTCTACACACTTTATATTATCGGCCGTCGTAAGGAGTTTGGACATAAGCACAGTGTGATGCTTTGTCCACCTCTATTGGGTCATGTTTGGTGATATTCTAGGCGCCATGAAGCCTACCCCCACGGAGTGCATCTATGCTAATAGTTCACATTAGCACAGCACGTTTGTTCGTCACGGCCGTGAGCATACAAGTCTTCACACACAATTTGATTGACGAATTCAGAACCATCATTTGAGTGTCCAGGCTACCGTATGGATCGCATGCATCCACTATGTGTTGTGTATCTGAGGAAGCCTATCGTCTTTGAACACAGGTGCACGTAACGCACCGGTCATGTTTATTAGGAACGCTTGACAAATTAGTATGGGTCCCACTGATTGGTGTTTTGTCGCACTTGATCGCTGAGCTTCCGCAATCCCCTTTACCGTTATACATGCGTTCCGATGTCTAGTGTGCGCTGTTGGATGGAGCCACATAGTGACCAGATATTGTAAAGATAAAAAGTACAGATGTTGCGCAACGTCTTAACCGAACTAGTGCATTCCCCATTCCATAGTGGGAGCCTCGAGTTTGACCACTTCACGAGTTAGAGTCCTTGTCCGACATAACCCGGTGGCGAATTCACTGCTTCCTTTTGTATTCGAGCTCCTTCATTTTTGTTAGCACTTTCATCCAACCGATGATACTTTTCGCTTCGCTTTTCGTCGAATTTTCATTTGTTTTGTGTCCTCCATTCTCCTACGCTATTGTCGAATTTGTGTTTCTTAGAGACTCGGATCATGGCGACCACAAAAATCACACTTTAGTGTCCGGATCGTATTTGGCTCACTTACACACAATGAAATTTACCTTTTATGCAGAACTCCATATATAGGCAGATAAATGCACTAATTTGGATGATAGGCTTTTAATGACACATACTTTATACTTGACCTAGCCGGGTTTCATTATACCATTTGAGGCAAACATCATGGGACACTTCTCGCAATGCTTTCTTAATTCCTCCGATATATTTCCATTGTCACAGAATATGACCTCTGAAGGATTGGCTCTCGCCGGTGCTTGTTACAATACCATCTATCATCGTTTCGGTTTACAATACCAGACACCGGAGGGCTATCTGGTTGACGGTCGGTTTCGATGCCCCGGATACATGAGACCCTTGGCCATCTGGAGCATCCAAACTGCACTGGAATTGAAACAGTCCAGGACGAATACAGTGAACGAGGGAAATTTGAGAGCAAATGAGGTGCCAAACTCCGAACAGTCCGCGCGATGTTAAGCAACACCTCATTATTGTGTCGTGCTTTCGAAGCTTCCCTTCGTCCAGGTGGATATCGGTCGTTCACGGCTTATTTTCCGGTGCGTTGTGGAAAGTCACTTTCAGCTCTACTCATTCCCCACACGTGTAACGTACACAATCTAATTTTGATTCTGACTTGTTTCATCGTACCCAACTGATTTCGGAGCCTGTCTGAACATTTTACTCAATTTCCCCGTCCACACATTATGGTATATTTGCGGCGAACGCTGACCACTTCTGATTACTCTTCTATTCTACGCGAACCCGTCTTTCACAGAAATACTTCCATCCACGTTCGTGATTCAACTGCGCTTTACAGATCTACATGTATCACGATTTTTACTCCATTCTATGTGGTCTCCGTCGCTGTTTTTCTGTTATCATCTTTGCAAATTTTTTTCTCAAATAAAGAATTAGGCGCTTTGCAAGCCTCACTTGGGGCCCCGACTTAGGTTTGCGAAGGACAGCTGACGAGACACTACATCAGGCGACAATGTGGAGAGCGTTACGATTTTGCCGTCTCACCTCCGTGCACGATATGATTTATTTTTGTGCTCAGAGTTGAGCGTCTGGAAACTGTCACGCGGTTGAAGATTCATTCCGTCTTTCCCACTTGGCACAAGTAACAACCCAATTAATCCTCATACTACTCACTAATAATCGGTGCTCGCGTTAATGGCTTACATGCCACCCCTATTGGTGGCGGCTTGCGAAGGAAGTCGTTGCTCTGGTGGCTGGCCCTGTCCACTGCACGTTCATAACACACATGGCAGTGGAGGATGAGCCGCGCTATATCGCAGATATCAGTCATGGCAGTCCGCTGCCGTCGCCTATGACTCAGTGGCATATGTCGCCGGCTCGCAAAGATAAGGTCGGGGGTTCGAATCCGGCAGAATGCAGCGGGTATGCCCCACTGACGAATCCCAATGGGACGAAACGGCGTCTAGTGCTTTCCTGAATTCATGGTCGGTGCAACTAGTTTTCACAAAAATAAGAAGAAAGCTTTAAAACAAACAGGATGGTGATCACTGATCATTTATGATGAGACTGACACAACATCTGTCATTGTGAACGCAACAATCTTATATGCTGTGAGCAACATATCAGTCAGTCTAGTTACTGACGATACAGTTACTTTCGGTTTCTTGCTTCTAGCTACCGATCTTTCTAACTGGAGTTTCTCCCATTGTTATTGCTCTTCATTTGTTACACTGCTGACAGCCTCGTTAATCAGAACAAGGTGAGTCGCGCTAATTGGATCCGTCTTTAGGTGTACGCTGAAACGTTTTACTTCAATTTATTCATGCTTGGAGCCACCAAGTGCAGTGAAGATCGGGCGTACCTGTTTGTTGCTTATGGTTCTTTGGCGACGATAGTTGTTGCTGCTCCTTGTGCGTCTTTTGTTTTCCCTCATTAGACTCTCCAAAGAAAGCCTGGAATGTGCGGTATTTCAAAGCGCTTCATTGGTAAAATGCGATTATAATATAACGATATTTGCTTTTCATTCTACTACTTGCTGCGAATGCACAAAATTATCACGAGCTGATACGACCGAAACTACGATGCAACTTTCCCCGAGGAATACGCTGCTCTTCGCCTCGGAAGGGGCATATAGGTGTATTTCCCTAAATTCGCATTCACCAGGGAGTATTCCAGATGCGGTTACCGTTCTACTCTCAGCAGACCTGCGAGTTGCGCAGAATATATTCTACTCTGAGAAAGCGGGATAAACTAATTTATCGGTTTCTTATCAAGTCGATGGAATGCATCTCCGTGGCAGTGTCAACACCTGTCTGCAGCAGCGAAGTGTGGATACCAAACGGGCGGGTAACCACTATATTGATGCATTTCAGCAACAAATCCTTCGACGTATTCTGCGCCTCCGCCGATTACAGGCAATGAAGCGGCCCATAGAAACGACATTCACGGAGTATGTCTCGTACTGTTGCTGTGTTGTTTAGAGCTACTAATTCTTCACAGAATGAACGCGGATGAAACACCGGGACAGCTACCGTACGGTCTATTTAGTATCAAACGTAATGTGTTAGCAAGTAGGACGCAGCGCTAGGATATGTTTAAGGTAAGGTTTCTAGGATCTAAAGCCGACCTAAGGTGTGGATAAGTAGTTGTCCGCTGCAACAAATTGTCGGTATTAACTCGCAGTGGCTTTAAGAGGAACGACGATTGACAGGTGGTCTGAGAACGACCGATATACGGTACAACCAACGCGTTTCCACTAGTACTGCTGATACGGGACGCGTACACTTCTTTGAACACCAGCAACCCCCAATGCCCTGTAGGAATTAAGCGACCTATACTGAGTATATTCGATCCTAGACCAAGGATTAAGTTCCATCTAGCACCTTTAGCTTTAAAAACTACGGTGACACTGCCACTGTCGAGTGCCGGCCGGTGAATGGGAGCAAGGCGTACGCAGTGGTTCGTACTAATCAAATAGAAAATAGTGGAAATGTGTCAAGTGGATTTCCGATATCGTTGGTATGAATACGTACAACGGTGCCACTAGATCCCACTAACAGGAACTTGTCCATCGGAATTACAAACAACTGGTAGGATAATAATAGCTACAAATGGACAGCGATTCATCACGAAACACTACGAGATCTGCGTCCGCCTGTCTGGGTTGTGTTTGGTCAGCAGCTGGGCCGTACCCCCACAAAGAAGTTGTGTTTTAAGTGCATTTCCTACCCTTCCAAGTGGTGGGTCTTATATGGTGCGAGTAACGCCCTCTGTTGATATGAGATTATGAATAACTGACCGATAATGTATCTACTTCGCCAGACAGTCATCTCGATTACTGCCTCCAGGTAGTTCCATCATGGAGCCGCAGTAGCTCATATATGTGGTATGTAATCCTCTCTGTGTTCTTTCGGTCACTGTCAGGCACTAATCTCCTCACCTTTAAAATGTTACCCCATACGTACGTATCCCTGTGGTGTGTAAGTTGCAGCTGCATCATGCGCACTGCTGCCATCTGAGGCCGTTTTCATTCAGATTCACTTATGCATGAATATCGTGTGTATTCATTGCGAACCAGGACATGTGACGTGCAACGGATATAGGACGAATGGTGGAGCTGTGGGTGATATTGTCTTGTATTTGTCCACAACAACAGTGCCGCCTAAAATAGAATTGTCTAACTAACTTCGAAAATTAGCACCTGATAACAGGACGGCTACAACCACCAACAATGCTCTCGGTCTGAAGGGATGATATGAGACTTTATGGATTTGCTTACAAAGTAGCAGTGAGCGTCTGGAGACACCCGCGTCGAACTCAAAATACCGTTAGGTCAGCTTGACTGCTGGTTTGCTCACCGAATCTATCAGTTCAGTGGGTAACAACACTCATTCCTACATCGAAATTGAACAAAATTGCAGCTGGAATTTTATAACTCAAATGAGATATAATTCGCGGAAGACATCAGTAACAAAGGTAGTGAACAAACTTATCTTCAATGGATTATCATCAGCCTACTACTACTACTACTAAAGTAGGCGTAAGTGGTCTCAACGCAGTCACTGAACCAGATTGCCTAATCGATATATATATATATATATATATATATATATATATATATATATATCAGATCACTATGCACAACAAAAATTAGTCTAGGCTCTCTACCGTGGCTTCAGGTCGATGCGACTAGAACAGCGATCACGCTACTTCATATCAACCAGACCAGAGCCATAGGTCGCTTCCTCCCTACAGTGCATTGGGGGTTGCTGGTGTTCAAAGAAGTGCACGCGTCCCGTATCAGCAGTACCAGTGGAAACGCGTTGGTTGTACCGTACATCGGTCGTTCTCAGACCACCTGTCAATCTTCATTCCTCTTAAAGCCACTGCGAGTTAATACCGACAATTTGTTGCAGCGGACAACTACTTATCCACACCTTAGATCGGCTTTAGATCCTAGAAACCTTACCTTAAACATATCCTAGCGCTGAGTCCTAATTGCTGACATATTACGTTTGATACTAATAGACCGTTCCTGTGTTTCACCCGCGTTCATTCGGTGAAGAATTAGCCATTCTAAATACCACAGCAGCAGTACCTGAATGTCGTTTCTGTGGGTCGCTTCATTGCCTGGAATCGACGGAGACGCAGAACATATATATATATATATATATATATATATATATATATATATATATATATATATATATATATATATATATATATATATATACCGTGTATAAGCCGACAGTGTGACTGTATCGCCAAATTTATCCAAAATCTTAAGTCCGTAAGTGAGCCAACCCCCGAAAAATCAGCAAAAAGAGAAACGAAATTGTTGTTCACGATTTTGACTTCATCACTATTGGCTCTCACTTGAGTGTGCTCAAGCGAAAACTGCTCTACTGTTGGTCAGTACTGGCGACCTACTGTGTTATGATCGCAGATAATGGGGCTTAGAGCCGTCAGAACAAAGATTTTAACCTTACTGAACTTTATTGATTAGATGTCTAGTCACACGAAACAGCTAAGACAGCCGACAATATGGGGTAGGGGGAAAGGTGTTTCGCATATTTGATGGTCTCATGCATCTGTATCGCTGCACAGCAGCAGGTGAGAAGGAAGTTCGTGATCAGTGGTGTGGGACGACGTCGTACTTTTAATGCACCAGATTGAGTAGCATAGCATAATGTTTTAACGCTGTGATTCACTAAGCAAAATAGCGCTAACGCGAAGTCACACGATCCAGCTGAGAAGGAATGTGCTCACATTTCGTGCGATCTTCTAAAGCCATGGAAACGTGAAAAAATGTCTGGACAGAAGCGATGTGCATATTCTGCTGGCTTTAAATAAAAGTTATCGCTTTTGCTGACCAATCTAATAATTTTATGGTGCACACCAGTTCACGCTGTATGAAAAGCATGGGAATGACGAAAGGAAATGTCAGAATTGTCAATAATGCCTGTAAGCAAGCGAGCAGCATGAGGTAGAACATCCAC